TTATAGTTTTATATAGAACCATTGTTTTTATTAAACCCTTAGAGAACTATCTTTTTTTGGTTATTTATGTAGTAAAATGGTTCTTCAGATTGATGGAGAATATTTCACCATGCAAAGAACTGTTTAGTGGTCCTATATAGAACCCATGGATCTAAATAGAGCCATTGCCTTTACTAAAGAACTCCTGAAGAACCATCTTTCTTAAGTGTGTACTCTTGAACCAGATGGGCTGCTTAAAAAAGCAGAGTGAGTGATGGAAGTTGAAATGAATGAACGTCAAAGTTATGACGTTTTATTTCGTATGACGAGGGGAACGTGTGCTTAACGTTAAGTGTATTCTATGCTGTTCCCCTCTGGGGTCATATTAGTGGCTTTGGGTGTGGTGTATGTGGCCAGAATGCCTCAGATTGGATCATCTTTGCCATTTTTTGAGTGCTTTGAGAGTTTAATAAGTGCTTTGGATAGGAAGTTTATGATATATTGCTGGGTATGTTAGGTTACAGGTATGTTAGGATAGCACTGAAGATTTTGCCTGTGAAATTATTATATTATCTTCTGAATTATATTACAATTACAAGAAAATACGTTTAACGTACTACAACATTAGCCTCTTCTTTGTGTTATGTCATCATTATTATTGTTATAGCCCCCTGTTGATGCTTTGTAAGTGCTTGCCTTGTCTTACATTTGAACTAAACATGTATTTAACGCTTCTCACTTACTATTAACCTCAACCCAAAATCTAATCCTACCCTGTTAGAAATAAAGGTTCTGCTCAGGAACACTTTTCATTCATGAAGGTACAAACAATGTAAATGTGCCCTCAAAGGTACAGCAGGCGTTTTAAGGTCCAATTGTGAACCTTAAATAAGTTTTTCCCAGGTGAAAAGTTCATATTTGTACCTTTTCATAATCCAATGTTTTAAAACAGAACAATAAAATAAACCAGACGGGGTGTGTGGAGTCAGTACAACTTAGACAATATAATTTCAGTGGATTATGGTTCAGTTATGTTCCCTGACTAAAGGTACTGAGATGGACCCTTGAGGGTGCCACCCCAGTGACAAGAGGGGCACTGCCCCAGTGACAGTTTCATACCTTTATTTCTGAGAGTGTAACCCTAACCCTGGTCCAAAACCTAGCCCTGGTGCTAATCCTAACTCTAATACTGTTTGATAGTTATTTGAACATCTGTAGATAATCTGTTCAAATAAATTTGAGACCATATGGGTATTATTAGTAGTATTATTATCAGTAGTAGCTGTAGTAGTAGAAGTACTAGTACATTTGTTATTGCTATTTTTGTTGTTGTTGTTGTTGTTATTGTTAGGAATTTGACCACTTTAAATGCAGTGATAAGCATAAGATAAATATTTAGCATATCAAACCCGGCTGTTGTGTCTTTGCTATTTGGCTGGGGCTCCATCCTTGATTGAGTTTTAACCGTAGGTCTCTACAGTGCTACCCATCACAAGGGTGTGTGTGGGGGGGTCTTGAAGCCATGGGGTTTCCTGTTCTACACAATCTGGTTTCCTGTCAGGTTTCCTCTTCCTCCCCAAACAAAGGGCTGGAACTCTCTATGTATCACCACCTTGCATTGCACCACACTGGGAATACAGGGAGCCCGTCCCAGGCTGGAGTTGCCTCCACACTTAACGATTCCTCAACTGCAGCAGTCGCCCAAGTCACGGGCCTCTGGTCCAGAACTCTCGGGTGGAAAACAGAAACACAGGCTTTTCTAGTCCCAACAAACACCCTCGTAATGCTTCCATGTTTTTGTGTATGGGCCCGCTGTTGTGCGAAGAAGTGTTGTAGGCGCTGCTCACTGTAAATTTACGATGCCACACTGGCGCAGGCCTGTGGTTCTGCTCGGACGAAGTGAGCTTGTGTAGGCACGGCTAATTTATGGTCTGAAGAAAATGGCACTTTTGTGAACGTTTTAACCTCGTCGTAATGAAAAGCTTGGTTTCGTCCTTTTATTTATTTATTTTTTTACTCTGAGATCACCCGTCTATATAGATGTAGGAATGCTTCCTTTTGCCAAGGCTGCATTGTGTGTGTGTGTGTGGAATTAGATTTTCCTATTTTTAAAAAAACCCTCTGTAATCTTGGGAAAGCCTGACTGCCAATCACGAATTATATGGTAGAGCCTGATATGTCTCAACATAAGTAAGGCACAGGCATCAGAATGCTAGCACTGGGTCTTATCTGGCACCATAGTGGCATTCCTTCACCCTGTCATACTTATCCTTAACCAGCCCCGCTGCTGTGGGCCCTCCGATAGTGTCCACAGATGCTGCACGGGCCCTGCCGATCAATTTGACGGCGCCTGTCGAGACGTCCAAGAAGCCAAAGTAAAACCGTGGGCTTCTGAATGGCGCTTGAAGTGTTTATGTGGGACGACTGCTCTGAAGCTGTGGCAGCAGGCCGTGCTTTGGTGTTCTTCATGGTCCCAGCTGCTTCACATTTTCTGTAGTGTCACGTTTGGCTTGGACAATTCACTCAGCTGAGGCTCCGAAGATTTGCTCTGCCGAATGCTTAATGCTGCTTGTGACCAGATCCCAAGAAAGCACCCGACTAGCAAAGCAGACATGATTCAAGAGAATATCACGAGTATAGAGCCGTCACAATCTTACATTATTAAAAATATGATTCCAAAAAGGGTTTTTGGAGCAATGTTAAAGAAAGTTGGTCAATCAGGATGTTTGATTTGGCCTCTCAGGAAGTTACCCCAACCCAACCTCCTCACATAATGAGGGCACAAACATATTTTTATACTACACTGTTAAAAACAAGGTGCAACAACATAGAAGAAACACATTTGGTTCCCTAATAACCCTTCAATGGATGTGCTTTGGAGAATCGTTTTGTAAATGAGAGAAGAACCTTTTTAGAGTTCTAAGAAGAGTCCAGAAATTGGTGTAAAACCTTTACATTATGAGAAGGTCTTTAAAACTTGAAAAGGTTCTATATATTTACAAATCTTTCTCAAATATTTCTCAAAAGAGGTTCGTCTATAGGATCACTCAGAGAAACCTTTTATTTAAGAACGTGTAAATCTTGTTCTTATTTGCCTGTTAAAAATATAGCTTTTCAGTGTTTTAGTCAAAAAATATAGTGCGATGGTATATAGTCATTTTTTTAAAAACTTGATCTTTACCTAGCTTTTTGTCTTTTTGGCCCTTGGTCCTTGACAAATGTTGTACTTTGACCTCCCGAAAGAAAAGATTTGGGCCAGTGCCAGACTGGAACCACTTTTGATGCCCTGAACAACCATTCAGTGGATGGTTCTATGTAGAATGTGTGAATGTGAAGGTTCTTTTTAACATAATTGAACTTCCATATATGTAAAGGTTCCAATATTGCATTTGTAAGAGTGTATTGATTATTATTTTTTTTAGTTGAGTAATCAGAGCTTTTAGGAAAGCCAGATAATAAGAATAGACTGAACTGAATTTTAACAGACCATGCAGAGGTTCTGGTTAAGTTCTGTTTCCTAAGCTAGTCAGTAGACTTTAAACTTAAAATATTTATTACCATCATGCAAATTGCTGATTATTTAATTCATCAAAAATGTCGATATTTATTGATGGGTTCATTAAGTAATTGAGGTTAATTGACCTAGACTCCAGTCTATAGTTTAACCCTTCAACCTGGAGAATCACTGACATTTGGAAACCCTCTGCGTAAACCCTGGATAAGAACGTAGCTCTATAGAATAGGCAATTGTATTCCTTATTGTATTCTTGTATGATACAGGGTAGCTGCTGTACCAAATCTAGACATTAACAGGTGCAGGCCTTTGGCAGGTGTTTATGTCTTATTAAAGGAGCAGAAGGAAATCTGCTCTATTGTTTTGGCTCATGCAGTGGACCAAGTTCGGAAGAAAAAAAAAGAAAAGAAAAGAAAAGAAAAGCAGAGGAAATGGAGCAGGAGTCAGGGAAAGATGTGAATGAAACGTGAACGTTTGTGTATGACTGAGCGTTGGCCACAATCGTGCCAGGCAGCAATAAGAGGATGAGCGCCTGCATGTGTAGACACTGCAAGGCTCCGGAGGGGCCTGTCTACTCCGTTTGTTTTCTTTAATAAAGCTACATCACCCCAGCTGAGCTCCTGCAACGAGGTCAAATGTAGAAATGACCTCAGAGCCGTTACTGTGCTTCTGTTCTGCCTCTCCGAGTTGCTCGTGTTTGAGCCGAGAACAGGACAAAGAGGCAGCTGCATTTTGTCCTTGGTTGTTTTATGTTTCAAAGCTTAGGTTCATGTTAATGTTCTTATTTTCTTTGATAATATTAAGTATAATAACTCTACTAATATGTGATTCTACTCATTTTAAAAACACTAAGTTTCTGCTAGTGCTCATACGGTAATTGTTTAGTGCTAGTATGTTAGCACTAAGCTAACACTGGTGCACATTTCAAATTTGAAGTTTGCAACAGATATTTCATATTTGACAACAGACATATTAACATATTCATATTAACTTTTCTTTTACAAAGCCCTGGAATTGAGCTGCCACCACTGTTTTTCATTTCTAACAAACTTTATCAGACTATCACTCATATCTGCAGTCAGTGACATATATAGGACTTACAGAAGGCTTAGGCTAACTTTCTGTCTTATGAACTTGATCCTAACCTTTGGAAATTAATGACTGGTTAATTCCTCTGTCACTTTTGTAATTATGTTGCTGGTCAAAGTGCTGCTTTAGGCCTTCCGTACAGCTCCTGAAGGCCTAACCAACGAAAGAGACTGCTTGGCTGTATCTACTTAGATTCCACAAAAAAAAAAATCCTTTTTTCAAGACTTTAATTTTGTTTCCAATCAAGATTTGCAATGTTTAGTTCCCAGAACCCATTAAGCATTCCCCAAAAGCCTAGAAGGCCCAGAGGGTTCCTCATTGGCTCAAATATATGTAATGAATCCACTGAATGTTATTCACAATTTCTTGCCATTTTTACTCAATGTGGTGATGCAGCATTTCCTCTCGCACCCTCCAGGAGGCGCTTTCAGTGGTGAGTGAAGACCAGTCTTTGTTCGAGCCTCCCTACGCTGCTGCCGCCCCCCTGCCAAAGACGGACATGACGGCGTCCAGCACGCAGGATTACGGACAGCAGCACAAGATCAACCCTATCCCTCCACAGCAGGAGTGGATCAACCAGCCCGTCCGGGTCAATGTAAAGCGCGAATACGACCACCTCAACGGAACTAGGTAGAGTATACAGGACTGAGTCTGGGCCCACATTGCACTTAACCTCCTTGACATAATAGAAGGAAATTTTGATTTTGCGTCATAACCAGCAACATTTCAAATAAAACACAATTTCCATTTGAATGTAAGAAGCATGTAAGTCCATTAAAGCATTGCAAGTCATAGTATTTCTTTACCCCCTAAAATCCCTGGCTTATTACATACTAAGGCTCATTATTCAGTAACTACAGGGACTTCAGTGCAAACTGGCTGACCTATTTATACACTGTAATCCCACATTTTGTTTTAACTCAAATAAATTAAGCCTGTTGTACATAAAACGCAGTATATTCCACATGTTAAACTATTTTAAGTTAAGGGAATGTTCTTGATAATTTCATACACTCAAATGTTATTTCTGTGTTGAACTCACTTATTGCTATTTAGTTTAGTCTGTTGCCATGGCAGTTTTGAAACCTCACCTTCAAAACATGATGACATTTCTGTTGGTTTTAATTGTTTCTTTTCCATTAAAGTTGCTGAGTGAAACTAAGTAAGCTGTAAAATACAGTTACATGTTTGTTTTGTTAACACAACCTTGTTGGATAAAATGTGCTTCTTTCCCATTGGCTCCTGGCTCCATCTATTTGCATATTGGGTGTTTCTTTCCATTTGTTTTACTCACCATCAGTGTGTTTTCATTCCACCATTCCATTCCAAAATTTTAGTCATTCTAACTCAGGTTTTCAGAACATATTACTTAACTTTTTTAAGGCAACTGGTTTACCCAGTTTTTTTAAGTAAATTCAACTTATCCGGGTTTACAGTATAGGTTATAGAAATATGTAATAAAATGCCATTTAAAAGGTTTAATCCCTTTGTAAATGACAAGAGAGTCAAAGACTCTAAAAACTCAATAGTATCATCCTGACAGACCAGTAACATGGATTTGAAACCACTAGTGGTTGCTCTAGATATCAGATGAGCCGTTGACCCTTAGACCTGTATGGTTATTACTACCACATTATTACTTTAACACTGTATACTATATCGCTGTTGTTGGAAGAAAACCTCATATCTCCAAAATGACAACTTCACAGGAAAAGGAAAAAAAAACCTACATTACTTTTAATGTAAGTCAGTGGAACCAGACCTTTTTCCAAGTAATTTTGGGTCATTTCTTTTGGTCCATTCATCATGAAATTTACATACAATGTAAAGGACAACAGGTTTTTTGAAATCATGTCAAAAACTGAACAACGTCAAAAATGGAGATACAAGGTTTTCTCCCGACAACAGCGATATACAACATTATGCTAAAGTGTCTATTTCCACTTGTTGAATAGTTTAACTGCATGGAAAAACCAGTGAGCATGTGTATCAAGAGTATCTTGAGCATGTTCCTCCATGAAATTTTCCTTTTTTACACCTCCTTTCCTCCCTCCTGTCCCCTGTATCCCTTGTGGACATTAGAGAGTCCCCTGTGGACTGCAGCGTGGGGAAATGCAGTAAGCTGGTGAGCAGCTCCGACACATCACAGATGGGTTACGGAGGCTATATGGATGAGAAGAACGCCCCGCCGCCCAACATGACCACCAATGAGAGGAGAGTAATTGTCCCCGCAGGTGAGAGTGCATTGTAGGAAACATAAAGCAAGCATGCTTTCTGTGCATCACTTATCGTGTAAAGGGTATATGAATAACACCCTGATCTCCTGAGTAAACAGCTATAGCTTACAGTTGAGAGGAAAGAGCCTCTGAGGTTAAAACATGAATCAGCATCCTCTGCTCCTCTCTGATAAATCCTTGCATGCATGCAAGCCAGCATATGTCTCAAATGGAGGTCCCCAGATTTTTCAATAAGATTAGAAGTTTTGGTATAAGGGGTTGTTTGGAAATGTGATTACCAACCTCTACATTCATGAGCCATGAAAGCAGATCTGTTCACTCTGATATTTCCAGGTAATCACTCTGTAGTTTATACAAGGATGAGTATGAGAATGACAGACAGTCTCACACTACACTCTTAAAAAAAGATGGTTCTTCAAAGATTCTTTAGTGAAGAAAATGGATCTATATAGAATCATGAACACTCGATGAACCCTTTGCATCATGAAAGGGTTCTTCAGACTGAGAGAGAATCTTTTGTGTATGGAAATCTTTTTGAAAACGGTTCTATATAGCAACAAAAAAGGTTCTTCTATTGTTACGATGTCAAGCTAGTAACAATAAAAGAACACTTTTTGTTGCTATATAGAACCTTTTTCAAAAAGGTTCTATGTAAAACCATCTAAAGCACATTCTTCACCAATCTGAAGAACCATTTCATGATGCAAAGAACCCTTTAATTATGCTAAGGGTTCTTTGAGTGTTTATGGTTCTATATAGAACCACTTTCTTTCCTAAAGAACCCTTGAAAAAACATTTTTTAAGTGTGTATCTTAGAGACGAAAATCTAAATTGTGCTTTTTGATTAAAAAAGAAATACATTGAAATACACTGTTTCCCAAAAGAGCCTTTGGGAGTGGGTAGGTCTTTGAAGGGCCATTGTTGTAAATGAGATCTGTGAGTGTGAAGAACCTTTTTTAAAGTTAATGTAAGAGCTCTATTTTTTCCAGAAACCATATGTTCAAACCAAGAGCCATGAAGGCAAACCTCTGAGAGTAAGACGGTTTTAACAGTATTGTTATCCTTTCACTCTGTTCCAGACCCATCTCTGTGGTCCCCCGACCATGTGCGACAGTGGCTAGACTGGGCTGTCAAAGAATATGGCCTCTTAGAGATAGACACAGCCATGTTCCAGAACATAGATGGGAAGGAACTGTGCAAGATGAGCAAGGAGGACTTCCTGAGACTTACCAGCGTCTACAACGCAGAGGTCCTGCTCTCACATCTCAATTACCTCAGGGAAAGTAAGTGTACTTTTCTTCCTATGCGATTAAAGTGGCTGCGTCTAGGGATGTCCATTAAAATTCTTTCGGTGCCATTTGACAACATAAATACAACAAAACTGAATGTTAAACATTAGAAATTGAAAGTCATGGCTTTCATTTTTTTTTTTTAATTATTCAATTGTCGTTACACGAATACACATTTACATTTGATTTACATTCCATATCAACAGATTTCATTACTTAATAACAAACTTGTTTATGTTTTATGTAAAGGTCAAGAAATGACAAAGGAAAAAATGTAAAGAACATTCTTTTCTCCAAAGCATAATAAAATGCATAAAGCTACTTTCAACTGAAAAACTCCTGAAAAAATTCCTTAACTATTGAAAAATAATTCATATCGCACTTTGCTTTTATCAGCACAATAATAACTGCTATTTCTAAGGGTTAAACGTCTTTAATAGTGTGTTGTTTTACAGTAAACATACTGATTGTACAGAATGTTAACTGATGTAAGGGAGGTGCTCACTAACCAGTACATGAGCTTACAGGGTATGTGTCAATAGATATAGAAATAAAGTAGGGCTATCTGTAGCATATTGAAGGTTACTGATTTTTATAGCTGGGTACCTTCTGGGTTTTGGACTCTACAATAGATCCTCCTTTACAATCAATGGTTTCAAATAGTCAGTGGTTCAAATGTTATTTTGGAAACTTTTAGGATAACAAGTTTAGGTGTGTATGTATGTTTCCACTGACACACAAAGGGCCTGGTTACACCTTGCATGCCTTTTCAGTGATCAAATCAAGTTTGGATTTCACTTGACCACATGAAAAGCCAGGTGTAAACACTTCCAGGATGCAATGTGATCAGATTATGATCAGCCACATTCGGAGGTGGTCAGAGATGAATCTTGTAGAGTAATCTTTTACTTGTGTAAAGTAAATGATGAAATGAAAAGTGAAGCTGGAGTTAGAGTGCTGCTTTAAAGCTTGTGAACCCTTCATCATTTTGTGAATTTCCACATAAACATGACCTAAAAATGATCACATCTTCATTTTACTCATAACAATAGCTAACCCAATGAACCCAATGTACCCATTTATTGAACAAAAGTGTTCCAACATTATTACAGTGGCTAATGTCGGTGTTCATGCGACCACAATCAGGTAAACACTGAACAAGAATAGTATGCATGGAATGATAGCATGGAGAAAGCCACTACTTTTGAGGAAGTCCTGCCTGTTTAATGTTTTCTAAAGACCATGTGGATAAACCCAAAAACTACTGAAATAATGTCATGTGGACAGATAGGGCAAAAACAGATCTTTGTGGCTAAAATGAGAGATGTTATGTTTGGCAAAAGAACCTCATCCCAACTCTGAAACATGGTGGTGGCAGTATCACAGTTTTGGGCTGTTTTGCTGCTATTGGACCAGAACAGCTTGCAGTCATTTGATGGACATATGAATTCTGGATCATATCAAGAAATTATACAGGAGAATGTTAGGGCTGCCATCCATGAACTGAACCTCAACAGAAAGGGGGCCCTAAAATAAGACTCCAAAAATACCAGTTGGTCCACAAAGAATGGTTAAAGCAGAACAAATTTTGCATTTTGGAATGGCTTAGACAAAGTCCAGACCTTAATCCAATAGAAATAGAAGGTGTGGCATTCATGCAAGAAAGCCCACTAACATAACAGACTTAAAACAATTCTGTAAGGAGGAATGAGCCAAGATTCCTCCAAGTCACTGTGCAGGGCTGATCACCAGTTACAGGAACTGTTTGGTTGAAGTCATTGCTGCTTACACCAGTTCCTGAAGGCAAAGATTCACTTACTTTTGCCAACATTTAATGTTAGACTGCTTAGTTCAATAAATGAATAAATGAAAAAATATATACTTTTTGTGTTATTTGTTTAATTTGGATCTTTATTTATTGTTATGAAATAAATAAAAAAACCGATTATACATCACTATATCATGCTTTTCAGTTTTTGACATAATTTGAAAATACTTGTTGCCTTTTACATTGTGTCAAAATTTCATGATGAATGGATCAAAAGAAATGATTCAAAATGACATGGAAAAAGTCTAATTCCATTGACTTACATTAAAAGTAAAGTAGCTTTTTTTCTTCTCCTGTAAATTTACCATTTTGGAGATATGAAATATTGTTCCAACAACAGCGATATTTAGGTCACATTTATGCAGAAATTTACAACTTTCAAGCAGCACTGTATTCCCAAACCAAGAGCTTTCTTGCACTCTGGGCTAATGAAAGCATTCTAGCCAAGCTTACTGACTTGTAACGGGAGAAAAAAGTGAACAAAAGTAAAAATGGAAACAACATATGTGTTGATGTGCTTTTTACACAGGGAAAGCTTCTCTATTGATCAAACTGGGGATGCATTTTAGTGAAAAGTGTAAATGAAATCTAGCTGAAGTTTTCCAGATACAACCCAGACACAAAACAGGTGTTAATGCAAGGTGTAAACAGGCTCACAATTATAGTTAGTCTTATCTGGTTTAACACACTGGGCATTTGTTGAGGTGCTGTGATTTTGGAAGACACTCAATAGAGTAGGATATCAGAAGCACTTGATCTAAGGAGCACAGCTCTCCTCAGAGCAAGCCAACATTGAAAATAAATTAAGAAATGTATGCTGATATCAGTCTCCCTGCTTCAGCGGCTCTCAAATTTCTGTATAGCAAACTAGAGACTAAATAATAGTTTGACTTGAGCTTAGACCGTACAGTCTGATGTCAGGCTTGTGATACAATGATCTTCTACACACTTCTTTCATAATCACTTCATTGAAAATCATCCCAAGACGCTTTTAAGGCAGAGTTTGTGTTTGTTTACAAGAATTTATGGGGTGTTTAGGAGCCAAACTACACAATTAATTGCACCATAATTGTAAACGTGTTTGGTAGTGACCTCAGCTATTGGACGCATGAATAGCAATGCGCAATATACAGCCAGAAATGTTTACTTTGGTGAGTCAAGTCATTAGATTTCGGTTTTTCCCATTGTTTGTGCCAGGGCAGGGCCAATTTGTTTGAACTGTGCCAATGTTTTCTCTGATTCTGCACAGAAAAATCAGTTTAAAGTAGCATGTTACGCTGTTCTATAAAAGAGTTCGTTTTCCTTTCGCCAGTTTAATAGTTTTCAGCTCAGGAAGTGACTGTTCCTGGCTCTTCTTATCCCCATAACTCCTCGGGACGGCCACGTTTTGCTTGGCAGAGCCGCCGCGACCATGAAGAATTTCGATAACCATTCCGTCCAAAGCATCTCCCCTCCTGAATGCCCTCAGCCAGGGGCTGGCCGAGACGAGGCCCAGGTGCATGGCCTCGGGAGCCTGCCCAGTGAGGCACGGGAAAGTTTATCCCTAATTTACAAGGCAGCCCGTCCCATTCCTCTTCCAGGGGCTTTTCTTACATTATAGCACTGCGTGTTTTGGCAAGAGGTCCTTCGGCGAGGTAGAAAGCAAAGCCTTGTCCTGTCCAATCCACCAGTGCCATCTATAAGCAGCATGTCTCGGAGACACATTGCATCTGTGCATCTGGACCGCATAGAGGACTGCTGATTACTTGCCCCGGGGCCACACTCCTAAATAAAATTCAATCCCACTTTATTGCCGTTATACCAGAACGGCATAACAAAAAGCTTTCTCACTGTTCTCACTGTTGCAACATGCATGGTGTACATAAAGGAATAAAGGTTCTAGATGGAAACAGTAGTAAACACTACTGTGTAAGACACCCCATACAGTGCAATACTGGACTGAAGGCAGTACACATAGTGCAGTTTTGGACAAATAGTATTCAGGACAGCAATACAAAAAGTTTCATACTAAAACTATATAAGTAGTAAAAGTGTAAAAGTGCAATCTGACAAAAGCAGTTGAGTTGCTGTTCACAATGATACTGGTAAGAGTCTCATCTATGCATTATTTACTTGCCATAGGTACATTAAGGCATGCTTATTACACAACTACACTTAGCGCCCCCTAATGGTTAAGTTTACTGTTAATTGTTCACTAACTAGGCTTTAGTTAGCTAAAATTATGAGCTAGCTAACTAAGCCTAGTTAGCAAACTTATTTATTCAATATTACTAACTTGGTTTATAGATCATGGCAAGAAACACTGCCTTTACTGTAAAACAAAATACTTGAAATTAGAATAATTTAGGTGTGTCATACTCTAACAAGTAGATGTTCACCCAGGAGCTAATTTATAATGGCTGCCTAAGTGATATGCTAGCACTACACTAGCCACTGTGGTGTTATGCTAGGTAATTATGTTACGATAGCACAACACTAAATACCTAAGTGTTATACCAGCCCAACAACAGCTACTTAAGTCTTATGCTAGCACAATGAAAACTAGGCCCCCAAGTGCTATACTAGCACAACTCTAATGATGCATGTGTTATGCTAATGTAAGTGTTATTCTAACATTTGTGGAGACAAATCTAAAGCTGCATCATTCCCTGAAAAGTCCAAAACTGCAGGTCTAGAACCATTGCTGGCTCTTTGGCTCTGTGGATGGATGCATCTTTCCTGCACTCCTGATTTTGTATGAAAAACAATATCCATCCCAATGCTTTTGGTGTTTGCCTTCTAATGAGAGCAGCTGGCACAGATCTCCTATTGGTAAACACAAGACCCAGCATAGCCACAAATGCTCCAAAAGGTCAGGCCCTGATGCCGTCAGCCTAGGACGGGACAAGGGGAACAGCTGGCCCATCCAAACATTATGACAGCAACTTAGCTCTGAGGCGGGCGGGGTCCCGGCGCTTAAAAGCAGTGCTACTAAAAAAAAAAGAAAGAAACGGGCCGATGCACTCGGCAGCGTGAGGTAATGGGAACTTTATTCCGTGGGTGTCAACAGTTTTGTGCGGCCAGCCCAGCCTTTGCAGAGACGGGGAGCATAACGGAGCCATTGTGCACTGCAGGGCAGAGCCCAGCCGGGCCGAACGCTGTCAGGGTGCTTTTTTCTTCTCCGCCG